GCGTGTACGCGTGCGGGGCCCGAACGAGAGGAGCATAAATCTCACGTGAAATGAGCATTAACTGCGAAACCGCTCTCCGCGAGTTTGTAATTATAATTATAATATGCGCGAACGAGAGGTACTCACGCTCGATACACGTTCCACTCGCTCGTTGACTTTGGGCACGGTGGCTCGGTTCTGCAACAGAGAAGAAAAATACAGGCGTGACGATAATGCCGATACGACAGATCACGCGCGGCTATCGCGATTAAGCGATCATCTGCGCGATTCGCACCTCGTGTCCTACACGACGCATTATCGAGGAGCAAAACGCAGAGCTAAAAATGTGCGGTAACAAAGTGCGACGGAAATTACAGTAATGGGATACCCGATGCACATTAATATTGTACACGGGGCAAGCGCAATTTCAGGTATAATAAATCTATCAGCGTGCCCCACCGTCAGCGGCTCCCTGAAAAATCTAGCAGTTACGACGATAAAATTTGCATAGCAGAAACAATTTTTTATCTACCGGCTACTCTGCAACAGTACGCAGTATTTCGCTTGCAACATCTGCTCGATGCAACGTGGACGTTAGTTTGGTAATCTTGCTAACGACCGTAAATTCCGTCCGAATCTGGACTTTAATTGTTCATTCGCATTTCCAACCGTGCACAAATAATCGTAAATAACTCCGAACCCGACAGCTGTTCTAGGGATTAATCTCAAAACTCGTCTGTAAAGGGAGAAAATCAAATCAGACATGTGGCTCACGCAATCCAACCGGGCACGATTGCATTTCGCATTCGTCGCGTGAACAGAACGTCGCACTTTTTCCCGGGGAAAAACGCCGCGCGATCGAAGGGAGAGAGGAAAAGCGTCGCGTCGCGCAAGCAGATGTACGCGCCGCGTCGCGAAAACGACGGCCGTAGAAAAACGAAGACAGGGGCAGCTGTCAGTAATCCTCGCTGCTTAGACGACTCCCTTTGAATTCTGCATAACTAATTTGAATAATTTCCTAGTTTACAGGACGAGCACGGCCGGATCTGGCGTCGTATCTAGCACGTAAAACGCACGGCCGTCCCATCAGTCTGGCCGTCGCATCGGCGGCTCGCGCGACGCGTACGCCAAGTCTTTTACACGGCATTTCGTCACGTTAACTCGAATTAAAATTCCTCGCACGACGGATAACACGACGGAGAAAACATTGTTTTCGTCACACTTGATCTCTCGTTTCTTCTACCATCCCCCCCCCCCTCTCTCTCTCTCTCTCTCCTCTCTCTCCTCTCTTTCTTTCGCGCGACTCGAAGATTTATGAACGTAATGACATCGTACATCAGTCGGAAGCAAGGCCTCTGAGCGAAACTTGATTAACCCATTACGTTGCGTTATATGGAGCAGCTACTTTATAATCGCGCAAGATGAAGAGAGTCGATAAGTCGAATATCATGGGAATATCATGGCGGTCGGTCTCGCCGTTACGTTAAACTCCTGGAAACGTATTGCCTGTGGCATATTACTGTAATATCCTCCGCAGTCTGCAACATTGATGTACAGAGTGATCCCAGAATAGACGTATCATTGACTTTCGACTTAATATAACACTTTCCTCGACAAAACCGTTAAGACGTAGAGAGCGAAAACGAAGAGATTTTGTTAAGTATTACAAATAAAGATAAATAACAACTCTCCCATTTCGTCAGTGTTTTCTTCACCATACCTGGCATTTTTAATAATACAGAAAATTTATTGTGAAAAATATTACCTCAGCCAGGGTTCGAACCTGGACCTCCCTACATTCTAGGCGGGCGTCTCGCCAATTCGAATTGGTGTTGTTGATTGAAAACGTTGTTAATTATTGCTGGCGACATTGAAGAATACTCCTATTTCGTCTAACTTGTTTTTTTTTAAGTAAACCGTACTGTAGTAGAATTATAATCTAAAATTTAGAGATTGATTTCAAATGTCACAAATGAAAAGTTGCATAAGAACGTAATGTTAAACTATTAATTGTTGTTAAGTAAGCTCCGACGTTACATCGAGAAATATTCAGATAGATATTTTAGAATCCTAGTTTATCAAAGTACTCCCTTCCATAAATTTCGTTAAAGACGTAGTCTGAGATCTCTCCGGAGGATGCACCGGCGCGGCGCTACGACAATGAATCTCCGCGAGCGAAATAATTCTGGCGATTGTGCGCGGCTGCGAAATAATTCATTCGGCGTTTCCGCAACGGGCGGATCGTGTGTGTTGCGGTGTGCATTGCGGCTGATATCTCTCGTCTCTCGTGGGTACTGTGTGCGAACCCTGACCGTACGTGGCAGATAACGTATGGGCTTTCGTGGATTTTCCTGTTTCTGCCGGCGGAGATAAGGAAGGAAACAGGAAACGACGGCGCCGAGGACGTTGCACGTGAGGTACATGCCCGATGAAAGCGAGCCGTCTTATCGCGGCGCGAAGGGAAATGAGTCGTTAAAGCAGCGATCATTTTTCAGGTCTCGTCCTGCGTCGCCACTTCGACGTTGCGACTAGTCGGATGTGACAATCGCGACAAGATTATGCCCGTATTATTGTATTATACGGCGTGTTTTAATTTCACCAAACATTTCTCTAAAAGTCAATCGGTGCGTTGTCACTGAAAACAGTGATAAGTATAGCACTGAATTATTCAATGTGAATTAGTGAATGTTTTCAGTGATGATCCACTGACTTTTAGAAAAGATCGATACGACGAGACATATCTTCGTAGACAGTTTGAATTTACATCTACGACCAAAAGGATGGTGTCTATCCCTAAGGAGAGTTTTTTTCGTGATCTTGTTTAATTTTACATATTATTATTGTATACATTTTGATTGTCTATTAATTTAATTTGTATCATTAATGTAATTTGTATCTTCGATAAGCCTGCAATTCCGATTATCGGTTTGGACCTTTTAGAATGTGCTCGAGCAGGACCTAAACCCTTGGTCGAAACGTCGCACTGTATTTATTTTATTTTATTTTATTTTATTAAGCACATGCCAGGTAAGGTCGACTTAACTTATTCATTGATATCTTCGTTAGGGTTTACAAATGCCAAGTTTTTCGTGCCCTTAAAGAAAACCTGCATCATTTTTAGCAAACTAGCACGCCTGATTGTGAGTGAGAATGATAAGACACCTGCGCCGATCCGTTTCCGTCGGGGTACACCCGGCGGGACGAACTCGTCGCTAGCGCACCGCGGGAATGGCGTTTCGCGATGCGTATTCCGGTGCGTGTACGCACGGAGGAACGAGCGCACGGTGCGTATAGCCACATCCGTACGCGGGCGTACATCGGGCACGCGGGGAATAGCCGCAGGTAAAGAGAGAAAGAGAGAGAGAAAGAGAGTACCAACCGGCGACGCGCTCGGTAAGCTACGACGAAGGTTATCTCACGGCGCGGATCTAAACGTTTTACCGTGTACGTAACTACCACCACGCTCTCGCGTCGGAGTACATTGTCATTTTATGGACAGATAGGCCCGCCTCGCTGCGCGCGCCCAACGAGCAACGACGAGCAGACGCGTACAATTTACGCGTCTAATTGCACCGCTATCAATTTCGCTCGCCAAGTGAGACATTAAGTCGCGATTCGCTAACGAGGCCATCGTGCACGCTCGTTTCCTCCACCCAGCGTTTTTCTCCCCCCCCCCCCCCCCCCCTCCCCTTCTTGTTCGCGGACGATTTTCCGACGAATTGTCCGAGGCGCAAGAGGCAAACCCTTCGAAATAATACGATTTACCCACATGCCTCAGTGGTCGAATTGGTGAGACGCCCCGCCTGGAGAGTAAAGGAGGTCCGGGTTCAAACCCTGGCTGAGGTAATATTTTTCGCAATAAATTTGCTGTGTTAAAAACACGTTGGCAATTATGGTCGATTGGAAGCTTAATTATTGTTAGTCTCAAGTACTGGCGTCAAATAATTCTTGATGTTAATGCGATTTAAATGATACGTGCTTCTCGATACTATTTTCTCCCTCATTTTCCAATCTTAATTCATATGTGCACGGTGTATTTTTTTTAAATAGTTTTAATGACGGTTTTTTAAATCGAAAATAGCATGTTTACGAGTCACAATTGAAAAAAAATAAAAGGTCAGCCTATTAATATAGCTGTGATAGTTCGGTAAACTTGATAGGAAAGGTCTCGATTAATCATGCTATCCAGTTGGTTTGAAAACTTGTAAATTAGTCGGTTACGCAGCTGTTTCGGTCTATAGTCTTTAATTATCGATGATTCGACTTCGAGACAAGCATCATTCAGGCCCGAGCATGGTCGCGATGGCCAATAACAGCCTGTACAATACTTATGTTGTAGCCTCGAGGCTAAACCATGTTCATGCCAGAGGTCTCGCGTTTTGGGTTCGCGAAAAGTCCCGTTAAGAGTGACCACGTGAATTCGCGCGTCAAGGTCTCAAACGTTCGGTCACCAGCATTGGTTTTCGAGGCCCGATCGTCGCCGTTAGCATAGCATTGCGCGCAGCCGGCAGCGGGGCGGAGTGGTCGTAAAGAGTAGACAAACGTACATACGTATGTTGTAAGATTTAATTACATCGTTGCGAGGAAGAGTGATCGCTGGAACTAGCAGTGTCACGCCTTTTAATCCGCGGACACCTCGGTTATTACTTCCCGCGGCTTTTTAAACTTGTCACCGCGCCAGCCAGCCGCCAACGGGCGTAAATAATGCGGCTTTCTCCGTTCCGCCGCATTTACCGGCTACCTCTTCAACCCGAACGTCCATTACTGCATTATTTATTAACAGTGTACGCGATCTTAACTCACGCACCCCGCACGCGGAGATCGCTCCGTGACGCTCCTCCCTCTCGCGCTTCACACACCCGACAGCACATCGCGAAATTTTCCCTCGCAAGTTAAAACGCAACAAAAAGCAGAAAGTTTCATTTTACGCCGTGGACTCCTCCGTAGAAACTTTACGATGGCTGAACGTCTGAAATCCAGCGCGAAAATTTAACGCGCTTGCCTCACCACTGATATTCTATTATCTTGTATTATGACTACATACTTCTCCGGCGAATAGCGTATATACTAATGGGTTATCAAGGAGTCGATAATAGATTAAAAACTTATCAATCCCCGAAGCACGAAAGTTTCATTTGTTACGTTGAGTAACAGTAAAGTGAACGAAGGCTAGGGTATATCTACGAGCGCTGATTAGATGTCGTAACAGAATGACTGACATACTTGTACGTAACACGTGCCGTCCATTACACTTATCGCGGCAGCACTATGTTTCGCCGGAGATAAAAGTCGGAAAATAATTGGATAAAGGTGATCGCACGTGCCACGTTTTCATAATCCGACCAGGAAAGCGTCGAGCGCCAATTTCATCGGGGATGACGGACGAGAGGTGAGCGAAAACTAGCGGTGATGGCTAATGAAGTTTAGTGTGGCGAAAGTGCTGTTAAATAACGCGTCCTTTTGTCGTTCTTTGTCGCAGAAATTCGCGCAAAAAAGCCGACCATTAATTTCCAGAAAGTAGCGCGACGCGACATTAATTCGTACGGCATCCACTTACTTACACGTGGTCGTCGTAATTTTAGACAGCTTTCTTGATGAATTTAGGAGAAAGGAAATTGTGTAAAAAAACCCGAAAGGACAATTTCGAAAAAGAACGATCGTCCGTCATCTCTTTGAAAGCGAAAGTTCAAAAGATTTTGATTCGACAGTTATTTTGGAAATGAATAATAAACATGTGGAGTACAGTTATATGGAACTAATGTAAACTCAATAGATAAGATATTGACAATATTAGAAATATATAAATTGATGAATAAGAATAAATCACCGAAATACTCGGATTAGTGGCCAATTCGACAATACGATTTAACACTGTCATATCCTTCACAATTTTCTCAAACGTTCTCAAAAACTTAACTAAAAAGAATCATCTAACATTATGAAAAGCAAATTTTTATAACTGTTGGGGAAATCTTTTTTCTGATATTTCCTGTATCAAGCACAAAATTGACCGTCCTGTTTGTCTATTGATAAAACCACCGCGGCAGGATTTTCTCTATATTATGCAAAAGAACTGAATATATCTCTCGCGAGACACAGGCACGACCGAGAGGAAGGAGCGAGTCCAGAGCCGAGACAGTCCGTATCCCCCTTTCGTTCTGCTTCACGCACTCCCGCGTGGAGAGCAAGGGCGGCAGGACGGAGCGTGGAAGAGGCGGAGGAAGGACGCGCGAGCGCAGGACGAGGAGAGATTCGCCGGAGAGCACCCGACCTCCACCTTGGTCGCCACGCATCGTGGAATTCGCATTCGGGGAAGAAGCTCTTCTCCACCACACCTCGCCTCACCGGCGCTCGCTTCAGCGCTCGCTGCTGCTTTGCATTTTACACTGGCGTTGAGATTTGGTCGTTAGATTCGCCGATGCACCATCGTTCCGGCCCTCCTCTCACCGAACGCACCGGCGTCGTCCTCCTCCTTCAGGAACGAAGCGTCTCCTCGCGGACGGCTCTCAAATTGGTTAACATTCCTTTTGTTAAATTTTGTGCTTCGTTCATATATGGCTTCGTAATAACATATTGTTTATAAGCAAATTTTGATCTAGCTATTGTGATCTATCTCAAATGTGTGTGTATATACATATAATTCTAAATTTTTCCAAACTATGTTGTTCCAAACTATTTGTAAAACATTAATTTGCATTCTTGTGTTTCTCAGATGAATATATTTTAAAATTCGAAGCTTATTTTGCAAAGTTTTCTATTATTTAGTATAGTGTTACATATGTTAAGCAAATGTATGATAAAATGTGTACTACAATTATGATGAAATTAAATTTATATGAAAACGATCTTTAACTTCTTTCTGTTTCCCCTCCGACTTTTCCCTATTATCTTCAGGAAAGGATGCAATGCCCTGACTCCCCGTTGCGCTTTATATTCGCGTAGGACTTTTACTACACGCACGATGCATTCGTAAGTCTCGCACAACAAAAACGCATCGGCCCTGAAAGTGCGTCAAACTCGATGCACCGCGGGGCACGTATGCGACGCGTGGAAAAACTCACGTCCCGAGTTTCCGTCGATACGAATACTAGAACGAAAAGAGTTGTCGAGCAAGAAAATCTTTCTGTACCTATTCCCGCCTTTAACGTTCCACCTTTCAATTATAAAAACTTACTAGATGTTGTCTAGCAAATCTTTAAAAAATTCTGAGAAATAGAATTTAGTTTACAACTAAATAAATATCTTTTAATTAAGCTATATCAATTCTGTAGAATTTTATTATCTGTAGACAACGAAATCTGAACTCCAATTAACGACATACAACTCGGAACTAATTAACATAAATCATAATAAATATATCAAGTCTAAGATTAGGAAGATGCAAAAAATATAATATTATTACGCGTGTTTGATAATTGTTAGTCTGCAAGACAAAATGTAATGATCCCGAGACGTGAGATAATATAACAGCAAGCGCGCAATCATTCCTCTCATTACCTCTCCGTGGCAAAACTGTGACGTTATAACGCGAACGATTATCTAATGTCTCGTCTAAAGAAAATCTCCAGATGGGTAACCCACTAAACTACAAGGGAGACTACGAGCATGCAATAAGGACAATGGGCTCCACGAGAGTCTATACTCTGCGGTGTGACTCGTGCGCGTGCAGGCAATTGCATTGTGGAGAAAGCTAGTCTCACCTACAGGACTATTTTCCTCTCCTCCTCTTCCACCCTCGCTTCACTCTCCCGCCGGTTTCTCTGTCGCTCGCCTGGACCGTCTTATTTCCATCTCGCGCGTACCAACAATGTTGTTGCAATCGGCCAAGCTCGCAAATGTCGCGTAGCGAGATGAGATGGAATTACAAGAGAAGAGAATATTAAGAACGAGTTTCTCTAGGGAGATGCAGTTGTCGACGAGAGAGAGGGGGGGGGGAGAGAGAGAGAGAGAGAGAGAGAGAGAGACAAATTTGATTACGACATCCCTTTCCTATTCAAGCCATTGAAAAAATTCTCCGATAAACAGTGGCTTAGAATCACCGAGGAGAATAGTTCTGCAAAATTTAATCCTATCTATTTGTCTGCTAAAGATTTATAATTTCTATTAATAACTAATTGTAAAGAAATATAATTACTACGTAGCAATTGTAGACTAGATTATTCCTAACATTCCTATATCTTCGTAAAACAAAATTTGTATACGTTGTATTGCATGGATTCCCTGGAATTAAAAAAAATTTCATTACATGCGCGCATCGACAATTATTTTTTTAGCTTATAGTCTTATGACGTAGACAGAGAAGGAGAGATCAATTAAAGTTCGAGTTCCAAGAGACAACGATAGATTCACTCTAAGTTAATTACTAATCGTAATTTCAACCCTGCTTCTTCATAAGCTCCATATATTCTCGTCTCATTTCGCCTCCTCATACTAAACAAGTCATGCGAACACCGCGGATTATGTTTCATGTAAATAATATTGCGCGAGATCAGTCACCCCCGCGGCGGGGGATTCCGGATCGAGTACACCGGCGAATTCAATGCAAACGTCTGCATTAGTTGACCCGACATCTCATGAGCGCGATACAGAATAAATTGAGAATGAAGTTGAGACGCAAGTTGATTATATCTGTTAGTTGAAAAGTTAACACCTCATTTTTTAAATTCAAATACAATTAATAATGTTTTCTTCTTCAAAATGCATCAGAGTTACTGGTACTTTTCAAAAGAGAATTTGGCAATTAACATTGAAAAGAATAGAAACGAAAACGGAAAATTCTGATAATTTTTAGTTATCGGAGGTGAAAGTTTATCTGAAATTTAAAAAAATTTTTAATGATAATAATAGTGGCAAACTCTTGTACAAAAAATTTGGATTAATTTAATACTTATTCCTTTCGTTCACTTTTGTAAAATTGCATTCTATAAAAACATAATAAAAAGAAGTATGACATATTCTGATCATTAAAGCGTAAAACTTCATACTTGCGAAATTTTTCGTTTCTATTAGCATAGTTACTTCAGCCAAAACTAACACAATAGAAAAGTGCACGTCTAAATGTACTGTAAAACAGTAATCGTTATGATAAAGTATCAAAGAGGAAACACTAAGCGATACATGCGGATACTGCAAGCATGCTCGGCGCAATCTATTTGTGTCGCTGTACTCATAAGTACGAGCTGTCACGAGGGCCGCATTATATTCGTCGATAAAGCACCCCGATAAAACCCGCGATAAAACGCCGAGTCGTTACTCGCCCACTCTTACTTCGCACTTGCGCGACCAATTAGCTATCAGCTGGCGGCGGACCTCGTCCGCTTAGAAACAAGAAATCAAAAGGCAAGGCTACCGTCCTGCCGCGGTAAACGCGTGAGAGTTCCCGCCGGGTACCGTACCGAATCGCGGCGCGTAAATACGAAGAAGCACGCCATCGTGAACTTCACCACCAGCACGAGCCATGCACGGCTACAAAAACAGAGAGAGAGAGATCCACTTCTCACGCGGAAGCACCTTGAGTTAGTGATACTCTCTTGTCGCGTCGCCGGTGCCCCCCGCTGTCGCCGATCTGATCTCCGTGGATCTGTGCTCGCTCGCAAATTCGCACGCAGACTTTTCGTCGTCGAATTAACGATTTCTACAAGCGAGAGAAAACAGGATTCCGGAGCATGCACGCGAGGATGGGGGGGAAAAAAACTTTTCCCTTAATTAGGCGAATGATGCCGGTTCGTTCTTGGAGCGAGCGAAAACCGCTGGTGGATTTGCGCTCGTTGCGATGCTATAAGGGATGCTATAAGGATGCAACTTTACACGATATTAAACTCGTACTCGGCGAGAGGAAAATTTCTTGGTTATTAACTTGTATCGCTCGGGCACAAAGCAAATAACAAACTAACAAGGCGACTGACGTCTCATAAATTAGTGGAACAAAATGAGCAGAATTAACTAGAACCAATTCTAGTTAATATTTTTATTCGTTGCTCTTTTTTTGCGAAAAAAGTTGTCAAAGCAAAAAGTTATTTGATTAAGAGTACGCATCTTTTTATTTTTATATGTGAAATTTAGAAATACTGCGATTGAAAAAATTGATTTCATCCGCTTGTTCATCATATTTTTGATTGTAATATTTTATGAAATATTTTACACCGTGCAGTGAGTTAAAGAAATGTTATTCCAATTAAAAGTTATGATCATCGTCTTTTGTCTGATGGATTGTGTATTTAATTCTGTACCGCGTTTGATATAGTGTCAATAACGTAACGCAGTATTGATATTTCGTTAAAGCAGACATGGCAAATAACGGTACTGAGTAGTGTCTAACATTCATTCAGTACAAATTGACTTTTCAGTGAATGAGGTTTCTGGTTAAACACATAAATCCGGTAAGTCAATATTAGATTCTAGATAAGTATATACATAATGTCGAGTGCATTATAGCTACACTGAAGCGAAGCTGCTTCTAACAATATGTACAAAACGATGTAAAACAATATGTACGACGATGTTGGATATTATTATTATTACCATTTAAATTTCTCGACAAAGATCAGGGGGAGCTGGCAAGAATAACTTGTGCCAGATAACTTTTAATGTCAATTACGCGGAGATTCGGTGAAAATATGTATGTAGTTAGACGAGAATTGCCTCGTGCAACTAAATTTTCATAGCTAATATTAGAAATGGTTGACTGTTATCATTTATTGCGTTTCTTTGCTCTCCATGCTCAACAGGATGCATCGAAAGTGGAGAATACGAAGGTACGCGTGGGCGTATTTACGAGGAAGCTCGAGGCGATTCCGCGGGACTGTTAAAAAATACGCCTCGCAAACTTGTCACCGCTTGCGGATCATTAGCGCGATTTGCGCGCGACTCGGACAATTTTAATCACGACGGGATTCGTTATCGCCGGTAGAAACGGATGTTAATCCACCAATTTATTGCATAATCCGAGGCAAAGTGTAATCCGTGTCGTTTTCTCTCTCCGTCTCCCTTTCCTCGCAATTTTCGCGCCTCCCTTTCTATCCGTCCACGGCACGTTTTCGCTCACCCGCTGATTTCACGGTGAGTAATTTAATTAGTCGGAAAGATTCTGTCTCGCATCATTCCCGGAATCTAGCCCGCGGGCGCCGGCCTGCAATTAGTTTATTTCTTTTTGCAGACGACCACCATAGCGCCACTGGCGTGAAGATTGTCAGATAATTCGGCCCCTCGAGGCGAAGAGCACACCGATATGTTACCCGATAACGACACAAGTGGGGAAATGTTTAAGTGAATAACAGACAATCATTTTTGTAGGGCTATCTTCCCGAATCTTCTCGCCACATTTCGACGGCGTATGCACACATAAACAGAAAAATACAAATGTGTACATTCGAGTTCCCCCTCGTAGCTTGATTGAAACGTATTGAAAAGTTTTCAGTGATTAATAAGAGACTGAAACGTGTGTGACGTGAGGAAAATATAATGCATAATTAATAACGGCATACTCATGCTCTTGAGATGACGCGCCTATGATAGGTAAACGGTTAACGATCAGAAGTCATCGATCTATAAACGTCGAAGGCTGCGCGTTGTCGGCTAGATGCAACCTTCTCCCGAAGCAATCTCCTTTACGCGGGGCCATTGACGTGTCCCGTTACCCTCGGTAATGATTACGTTGCCTAACAATAATTAACAGTGCCCATCAAACGCTCATTAGTCAGAGTAAATATGCGGTCGATATTCGGTTACGGTGTTTTAATGCTACGCTGGGGTGGCACTCGTCAAGATACGTGCATGCGGGTAATAAACGAAGTCACAAATATACGGCGACACGGCTGAATACCGTACCGGCTGTTACCGCGTA